GCATACATATTTTTATGAATGCTGCTAACCTGAATGGTTTGCATATGTTCATCGCGTGGCTAATGAGTGCATAATTCAAAATTCTAAGAATCGTCTTCATTCTTGACATCCTTTTAGGTGAAAATAAGGGGTTTCAATATCGGTCTACTATATTATATAGCTGCCAAAGGTATGCAATCTTTAGCATGCAAAAAATAACAGCTCTGCTTTATTTCTGTTTTAAATCGGTCTTTAAAAATATGTCAGAGCAGCTGCTCTTTGGCAATTAATTTTCAACTTTAAGCAACTTTTTCATTCATTTTATGTGGGCTTTTTATATAGCTCACAATGTGAGCTTTGGTTAAATGTTCAGTATATAAATATATATTGAAATTTTTTAGCAACCCATTCTTAAACCAGATAAATCTGGAAATAAATGTAAAAAATACTCGTTGCTGAGTTTTGGAGCTTATGATAAGTAACCCACGCAGCAGCAACCTCAACTAAATATAAACAGACATCTATCAAGCAAGTGATGTACATATATATATATATATATATATGAATATATAGGATATATAGAGTATATATACTTATATTTTATATTTAGTTGAGTGCCTGTTGGCGACCGCGATGTCAACAAAACGTTAAGCGGGATTAGCGTTCTTTCGCGTTGCGCATTTGTTTAGCAGCAACAGCAACAGCAACAGCGACAACAACAACAGCAACAATTACATGAGTGTCAACAACATCCACAAAGTGGCAGCCACAACAGCAACAACAAATACAACAACATCAACAAAAGCAGCAGCAGCAAAATCGCGTACATGCCTTAGATCTTTACATACTTTGCATATGCCTTTAATATGGGCTTAACAGCGTAAAAATGGCAAAAGTCGAAGGCTAAGACAAAAAGGCTCAGACCGGCAGGCAATGTGTTGTTGCATGGTGTGATTGAGAGAGAGTGTGAGAGAGTGGGGGAGGGGGGGGCGGCACACACAGGCTGCTTATGAGCATGTTGTAAGTAGATACAAGTAGCTGCGCTCGTCTTGACAGCTTTGTTTTCGCACATTTCTCTTGTCTGCCCCCGAAGGCAGGCAACAAAACTTGTGGAAAGACGTAGAAGGTGTGTTGGTAGGGGGAGGGTAGGTGTTTGGGGATGTGCGGTGCACACTTGGAATTGTCGGGGCATGCGTAAAGTTTTTAATTAAAATAACCAAGCAATAAAACTTTGCAACACAATGTTGCAAAAATAATGACAGGCGGTGAAATGCCTCGACACAAAATATGGAAAATATAGGGTGGCATGGGAGTGTGGGCTTTGGGGTGCACCGTCAGCAAATTAGCAATGACAATTTCTTATGTGGCACTCACACACACACAGACGGAAACAAATACACACACACACACACACATATCACGTATACGCCACATGCAACAGCAACAGCAACGAGCAAGGTTCTTGTTAATGGCACCAGCATTGGTTAAAGGTCGCAGCAATTAAAATTTTACAGCAGTCGAGCTGCTACCCGCAGACAGAACAACTCTCCTAACACCTCCCATCTCACAACCTCAAACCTTGACAGTCCCCTACACAATTGCTGGTCAAAGCAACTGGCCATGAACTTTGACCCAAACAGTGTGAAAGCTGTAAAGGCTCTTGTTATTTGCTAAGGTCGCTGAATATTTGCACAAGTTTTATGCTCGAATTGATAGAACGTTAGAGACATCAGAATAATGACTCAGCAACAGCAGTAACAGCAGCAACAACAGCAGCAACAGCTACTGTAAGACAAACAGCAACAGCAACAATGTAAACAACAGTACAGACTTGAAGAGTAGCAACAACAGCAGCAGCAACTGTATGAGTAACAGCAACAACGAAAGCAATATAAACAGCAGCAGTAACAGCAACAACTCCTACAGCTACAGCAGAAGCAACAGCAGAAGCAATAGTAAAGTTAACAGTAGTAGCTGTGGTAAGAGACACAACAAGAGCAACAACTACAATTGCAAGGACAACAGGAGCTGCAAAACAAACAACAATAAGCAAAAGTAAAAATAACAACAGCAGCAACAGTAATTGTAAGGGTAACAACAACAACAACGTAAGCAAAATAAACAACAGCAGTAGCAACAGCAACCTGAACAGCAACAACAGAACCGAAAAAAAGTTGCCTCAGATAGAGCAGTAACAACAGCAACATCTACCATTGCAATGCAAAAGCAGCAGCAAAACCAACAACAGTAATTTACTGTAACAGTAACAGCAACAGCAGCGGTTGCTGTAGCAGCAGCAACAAATAAACCAGCAGCAGTAATAATAACAACAGGAACAGCAAACATAATAGCAGCACCGATATCAATTGCCTAGATACCGTAGCAACAACAGTAAAATTTAAAATTGGAAGAGCAGGAAGTGGAACAAAGTCAACAACAATAAGAGCAAGGAAAATTTTAGAGAAACAACAACAGCAGTAGCAACGAGATCAACAATAACAGCAGAAAAAGGAGCAACAGCAGCAATAGCAACAGTAACTATGCCAGCAGCAACATCAGCAGCAACAGCAGCAACATCAGCAACATTAATAAAAGCAGCAACAACAGTAACAGCAGCATGAATAGAATCATCAATAACAACAGCAACAACATCATTAGAATGAAGAGCAGTAGCAGTAGCAAACGAACCAGTTGAGTCGCAATAGTAGTCACAGCAGCAACTAGTATTGCCAGAACAACAGCCACAAGAGCAACTGCAACAGAAGCAACATTTATCACGGCAACACCTCAATCAGCAATATTAGCAGCACGCAGATCTAAAGCAGTAAAACCTACAAAAGCCAAGCAGCTGCAACGGCAAAAATAATGCAATGATCATCAACAACTTTTAAAGCAGCGAAAACAACAGTTGCAATTGACACATCGGCAACAATAACTGCAACATCAGCCGTGGCAGCAAAAGTTGCACGGAAATTAATGAAAGCAATTGGAATTGGAATAGCCAACAGCTGCAACAACGACAACAAAGTATCAACGACAACAATATTGCTATTGTCAAAAACGACTTTTGCGGCAGCAAACACAAAAGTTGCAATTGAAACATCAGCATTAAAAGCAGCAACATTGACAGCAGCGGAAACAGTAGGAGGTTAACAGCAGCAACAACATACAAATAGCAACTAGCAATAGCAACAGTTTTAACTTTCAAAGCAACTAAATACAAAAAGTAAGAGAAGCAAGCTTAACATTGTTAGCAATAGCAACAGCAGCGGCAACAACTACAAGAACAGAAGCAGCAGCAGCTAAAGCACATAATGCCAACAACAACAGCTCATTAAAATACCATAAATCAAGTTGCATGCTGCATAATGAGAAATATTTCTGGCGTGTAGCAAAATTATTAAAAAATGCCACAGCTAAAGAAATTGCTCAGTTTGTCGGTGGAAGGAATGTGTAAAAAATGATGCGAAACCGAGCTGCAGGACGAACAAGAGAGAGAGAGAGAGAGAGGGGAGACACAGAGAGGGGAAGAGAGAGGGGAGTAGAGAGCTGAGCTTTGGTACATCCTCAGATTGATTGATGACATGGCGTCAATTTGCTTGAGCTGCGCCGCAGCGCCTCAGAGTATGCAAAGCGTAAATTGTGCATGTGAACCCGAAAAATAGAGCCGACCAGACCAGGGGGGGCGGTGTGGATAGCAGGTAGAGTAGGTGAATATGCCAAGACAGAGTAGCTCCACCCCCCCTCCCGCATCCCCAACAATGAAAAAGGCATTAAAATGCGGTCAGCCAAATGCGAAAGAGAGATGAGAAATGGGTGAGATGAGTGCTGAGTTTTTGCTACTGGTGCTTTGTTGTTGCGGTCTTTGTGCGTGGGCAGTTTACATCTGTATTGTGTGTGGGTGTGTGTGTAAGTGAGTGTGTGAGTGTGCCAGTGCTGCGGCCCAAGGGTCCTGTCCCAGTGGCCCAGCAGCTGAATAACAAATAGCATTTTTGATATGAATAGATGACTAAATTTGTCATAGTTGATTGACCGAAAAATTGTGCAGTGTATCTGCCCACGCAATGCGAAAGCCTGTAGAGAAAGCAAGAGTCTGGTGAAATGTTTGTGTCTTGCTTTCCTTAAATAGCCTGCATATGAAAGGAGCTAATTGGATTTAAAGAAGCGGAAAATTGCTTGTTCCTCCAACTGTTTTTGGAATTTTGAATTAAAAGCAGTCGCAATTTTGCATGTGAATGCTGAATAGATGTGGCACAAACTTCTATGAATGGTATTATTGTACCGTCTATCAGACTTAATGTTGACTATTTATATATTTGTTTATAAGTGACTCAAGCTAAACACAATTAAAAGTTTGTACTCGTCAAAAACTTTTTGGAATTTTGAATTAGAAGCAGACAATTTCAAACTGTCAATGGAATAGTCTTCTACAATTGATACTAATATCATTAAATGTATGTTGAACTATATATTCATTTGATTCCAAATTGAAGTCAAAAAGACAATTAGACGCGCAGTAACAGAGATAAAACAATTTTATTTGTATAAAAAGAACTTCACTCTAAGCCATGCCAAACTATAGATTCACCTCAAAATGAATATAAAATCCAAATCCAAAAGATTTTTTTATTCACTTCAAATCTTTATCCAGTTTCATATTTAGACTTGAGCACTTTATAGTTTTGGCGAGTCATTGCTGTTGACAGCCATTTAAAAACTAGCTGTCTGAACACGTTGCAAGTTGAATGATAAATGATGTTGTTGTTGTTGCTGTTTTCGCCACAGCTGCCCCAATGCTGTCAAATGAATTATGCATAATTGTTGACACTGACAGGCGCAAACTTCCCAAAAAGTACAGCTTTGCTGCCTGACTGCGATTTGGTCAACGCCATAAACCAGCTTTAAATCATTTCCGGCCAAATGTGTGCATGTGTCTGCTTCATATTTCCTGCACATTTTGTCCACTTTGCACTGTAGAACATTTTCAAATTTGTGGAGAATAAATAATGTTGCATACTAACCACAAAACAAAGCCAACAAATTGATGGCAGATCATCATTAGAAGCACGTTGACTTTTTATCCGGAACGTTTCACTCAGCTACATGTTGTTCGGTTGTTGCCAATGCGTTGCACGTATCGACTGCAAAAAGATACAAGATATGAAAAATGAGAAAACACATCAAATATATATGATATATATAAAAATCGAGGCGAACTCAGCAATTACTTTCGAGTGATGCTTTTCTAATTTAGAGCTTTATTTTGGGCAGCTTAAAGATTCAAGTAGGAGCAGCAACAACAGCAGCAGCGGCAGCAGTAGAAGAAGAAGCTAAAGCAGCAGCAGCTGCTTGTTTACTGTGCCTGTTTTTGCCATAAAATGTCAGCTGGGCAGGTACAACAAAAACAACAATTTGCAACACTTTATGCGAGCCCAAGCAGGCGGCAAGTCACGTTGCGCATACGCCCCCGTGGCATGTACATAAATTTAATGCCACAAAATGCTCAACGCGTCTAAACTGTCTGTGCTTACCTATGTGTGTGTGTGTGCGTGTGTCTGTGTGTGTGTCTCTGTTTTTTGGGATATCTTTATGTGTATAGCATAGAGACAAGTTTGGGCATTGAATGTCGCAGACTTTCCTGCTGCTGCTGTTGTCGTTTTAACATTTCCGACCAAGTTGCATGAGTTTCCGTTTCCGTTTGTTGATTTTACGCACTCAAGTTGGACTCGACTCACACACACGCACATGTACAGCTACAGCCCAACTACAACGGTTTTTTATGCCATTAATTGCCTCGACTTTTTTGCCTTCTACAATACGCCTTTTTGCCAAGGTCTGCGCTTGGTTCTGCACGCTTGATTGCTCGCCCGTAAATCCATTTTGGGGGGTGTTGTTGAGTCAGGTAAATTGCGCACCCGATTTTTGCTGATTGGTCATTTGACTATAGCTACAAATGAATTTTTTTTTGTGCCATAAAATAAAGCAACTTTCGCTAAGCGACAGCTGAATATCATTCAGGACAGGCAAGGAGCATTTTTTTTGCGTGTCATTACAGCCAAGTTTTTATTAAATTAATATCTCTTTTTCTGCTACTTCATCTGCCTGAAGGGGGCCCGGCCTTATGCAACTTGTGTATCTTGGGGCATTATCGTTAATCTTCTTTATTGTAATTAATTTTCTTTCAAGTCTTGACCACAGCTGCGCTGCTTTGTCCAATTTAATTACTCAGTAAATTTTGTAATAATTATATTTGGGCTTAGTAATTTAAAGCAGCCTCAGAATATAATTTGTGAGGCCTACGCAAATAAAAATAGCAAAGTGAGAAAGACTTTCAAATTAAGAACGATATATCTGTAAGAGGTACTAACATTTTCAAATTATAAGCCGTGTTTATATCTATAAAATTTAGTTAGTTGGTCAATTAAAATGTGAAAGTAAAATAGCGAGGAATAATTGGTCAGTTTAATATTTAATTCATAGTAAAAGTGTGACTTTGTTCTGTTTGGTAATTGCTTAAAATGTTGCTTTGTTGTACGTCACTTTGGCCAGCATGCAGTCCGTCAAATAACGGGGAAAGCTTTAAACTGGAAATATAAAGTCAAATCAAAGCCACAGCAGCAGCAGCAACAGCAACAACCAAGCATGCAAAAGCTTGTCAACAGTTTTTATTGTTGTCACTTCCTGTTGATGGTTGTTGTTGCAGTTGCTGTTGTTGTTGTTGCTCTTGCATATGTCAAAGCGCATATGCCAAATGGCCAACAGACAAGGGGCCACAACAGTTAGCGAGGGTCAAGCAGCAACAATTTGCAAAATGGCAAAGTGCAGCAAGTGTAGAGGGGTTCGAAGGGCTGCAGAGGCTGTATGGGGGTGTATGGGTGGGGAAGGGATCGACTGTGAATGGTTTGCAGCACAAAGTGTGGCTTGTAAACGGGACAAAACCTGTCAAAGTGTCGACTCTCACTCTCAGTGGTAACATTTCGTTTTTTTTTCGTTTGGTCAGTTTGTCTAGTCTGCTATGGTACACCCTGCCACACCCCCAACTCGCCGGGTTATTCTTTTTTGGTCACTTAACTGCGTCGGTTAAATGCCAGTTTGAGCTAAAAGCTTTTGTTAATGGGCAGCGTCAATATTATGCCGGCTTTAATAAAAAATTAAAGGAGAAGCTGACAAAAATGGAATGGGAAATGAGAAAAGTGATGCGGCAAATAAATACGAATACGAATACGAATACATTGTGCGCATTTTGACGAATGAAATTGAATGTACATGCCACACACACACACACATACATACACACACATACACAAATGCACACTAACACACATGCATAAGCGACATGTGGCCAAAAAGAGAAAGAGTAAAAAGAGAGCTAAATGAAATACTAACCCTTTTTTCTTTTGGGTGGGCGGCATATAAAACGGGCTAACGGCCAAGCCCTTGTCCTTGCCAAGCCTACCCCACCACACGCCCCTCCCCCACTCCACACACTGTCCCTCCGCTTCTACTCCGTTCTCTCTTCAGTCTTGCGGCAACTACGTGGGAGGCTCGACTCAAGTTAAGTCCTTGCTGAAGTTCTGTTTGACTGTTGCCTTTTGCTCGCATTTACACAATATAAATTGTACACGTGTATGCGTGCGTGTGTGTGTTAATATATATATATGTGTGTAGGTGTGTGTGTGTTAGCACAAATATTGTTGGTATTTTGGGCACGTAAAACATCAACGCATAAATACAGAACATGCAACGTGTATGAGGCATGAATCGAAGATGCGCGTCGCAAGCAGCATTAAACCTGCCACACTGCGCTGGGCAGGGGCAACTCTTGCTTCGCATGATTGATAGCTTGATTGACTGATTGAGCAAGCGTTGCACAGCAAAGTTTAGCCAAGACAAAATCTCATTTTTGATCTGGCACAAAAATCTTTCCTTGACGCAATTTCATTAAAATTGTAATCTTTGCGTTTCCCTTGAACTCCAGACAATGCAAACAAAAAATTCTCATATTCATAGCTATCGATTAATTGATTGAGGTTGACTGATTGAGTGAGCGTTTCTTACACATATCGAATAGCATTCGAAGTGTCTTGAGACCGAATTTCATTAAAATTGTGATCCATCTTTTAATCTAGCAATATAAATTGCTTTTCAGAACTATTGAGTGATAGCTTGATTGACTGATAGAGCGAGCATTGCACATCAAAGTTTTGACAAAACTTTATCTAATTTTCCATCTAAGACACATCAAAATGTTTTTATACCACAATTTCATTCATCTTTCCATCTTCTTTTCGACTTGCAGTTTGAATTCCAGTGAAATCAAAAAATGCAAATGAAAATTGCTCACATTCCAAGATAAAATATTCAAGAGAAAAATTTAATTTCTAGAAGAAAAAGAAAACAAATGAAATCAGCAAAATAGAATTCCGGCAAAAAACCACAATTAATATCAGAGATTTCAAGCTTAAAATAATAAAAAGCAAAACAGATTGAAAAAAAAAAAACTTTATGCAAAGCACTTTATTGTTTAAATATTTGGTTTTGGTTTTTACTTGAAATTTGTATTTTAAACTACTTAAAGAACTGTTAAGCTGTTACCAATGTTCGCCCCTGTTCAATTCTATATATATACACATATATTTCTTTTTTTTTGGCATTTGTAATACTTTTTGACGCCCTCACGCATATGTGAAAATTCAATTTGTTATAATTTGAAAATTTCATTTTACGTTATGGAAATGCGCACGGTAAGCTGCCAAAAAAATCGAGAACACAAAGAAAACGCAGGCACAAACACACACACATACAGAGAGAGAGACACACACACACAAAGGGGGCGCGACAAAAAGCAATTTGTGGCAGCTTAAATGTCAATTCGAGTTTTCTTTTTATTTTTTGGTGGGTTATTGCAATCGGTTAGGCATTTGAGCATTTTGTTCTTGTTGTTGTTAGTGGCATGCAATAGTATGCTAAGCACAAGGTGCTTTGGCTATAAATAGCCAAACACGTCTTGGCCATTTTTAGACGATTTTTTGTATCTTGTGTATGTGTGTGTGTGTGTGTGTGTGTAGGCAACCACATAAAAATAAAGTTCTGTTTGTGCAGCTAAAAACAAATTGCAAACAATAAACAGAGCTGCCAACCTACGACAATGTACACATGTATGCCATAAATATACACACAAGCAAACATACACTCAAAAAGAAATCCCACTTAGTTTCAGAAAATATCTATAATATTTAGAAAGTATATATATTAAACGAAAGGTTATCTCTCAATCTATTAATCATGATTTATTTATTTGTATTTTACTTTTTTTTCTAAAAACAAAAAAACTTTCTAGTTTTTAGGTCAATTTTTAGTTTGCGCTGAGTTTTTTGCTGAGTGTAGCCATTAGCCGCCTAAAGATATTTTGGTTGAGCTTCAGTCAGGTGGCAACAACTTGTACCTGGCCGCCTACACAAAATTGTCAATGAAAATGTCGGTTTGGGTTTTTCATTGTGTGTCCTTCGTCCTGTGTTGTGCGCCATGTTGTGTTCTGGGTCCTGTGTCCTGCGTCCTTGCTGCTGCCTGTCAGTTTTCGGTTTTGCTTGTTTGTTGTCCAGGCAATTGTTTTTACCTTGTCTTCATTTGCTTTTGTTAATAGCTGCTGATGCTGGTTTTGATATTTTGGTCATTGATCCAAAAACTTGAGTTTTCAAGCATTTCAATTATTGCTTGTCTATCTTTGTCTGTCTCTTCTTATTTCTTTCTGTCGTTCATTTATTGATATTTCATTTAATTTTATGCCAAATTCTGTCAAATCACCGTCAAGTTTGCTGCCTTATCACAACAGATTATCATAACTGTCAAGCACCGAGAACAAAGGAGCTCAAAAATAGAAAATCCTCTTCCTGTCTCTCTCTTTCTCTCTTCGCCTCAGTCTCTATATCTCTCTCTCACTCTCTTCCTCTGTCTGTGAGATATTTCCAGTGCAACATGGCGTATGATTAATACGTTTAAATCATATTAAAGTCTTTGCAGTCAGCAGCAATATCTAAGCCAGCCCACTTTTATCTGCTTAGATATGGCTTTGTGTTTATATTATTATTACTATTACTATTTTTATTATTATTTATCTTATGTGTAAGAACAACAATAACAA